TTAAGAATGCCTTTAAGTGGTTTTCCGCCCTGGGTGGGCCAGGTGGTCCTTGCCCTCATTCCTGTAAACCCACAACCTTCCAGCTTGGGTGTTAGGGCCATTATGAACATGTTACAGTGCTGCAGAGATTTTGTTTATGGCCAGTTTTGGGGCCAGTTTGTGGCCAGATTTTGGGGGGCTTGCTCCCAACATGTATATATGACTTGATGGCCAGGTGCAATGGCTCACACCTGTAAGCCCAGCCAGCACTTTGAGAGGTCAAGGTGGGAGGATTGCTTGAGCCAAGGAGTTTGAGATCAGCATGTAGTGAGACCTTGTCTCCACAAAAAAATTTAAAAATGAGGCAGGAGGATTGTTTGAGCCTGGGAGGTGGAGGCTGCAATGAGCCATGATTGCACCACTGCACTCTGGCCTGAACAACAGAGTGAGACCGTGCCTTTAAAAAAAAAAAAAAAACTTTGGGAGGCCGAGGTGGGCGGATCACAAGGTCAGGAGATCGAGACCACAGTGAAACCCCGTCTCTACTAAAAATACAAAAAATTAGCCGGGCGCGGTGGCGGGCGCCTGTAGTCCCAGCTACTCAGGAGGCTGAGGCAGGAGAATGGCGGGAACCCGGGAGGCGGAGCTTGCAGTGAGCCGAGATCGCGCCACTGCACTCCAGCCTGGGCAACAGCGTGAGACTCCGTCTCAAAAAAAAAAAAAAAAAACAAAAAAGACTTGAATACTACTTCATAATTCTGTGTCCTTAGAAATGTGTTCACATTATCCGGAGCAAGAATTGTTCTTACTGTAGTTGAAGAATGACAGCCCACGTTACTAAAAAAAAAAAAATCAAATGATTTCAGCCAGCTTTTCCCATGACATATTGCCTCATAGTTACTGCCAGGTAGTGGCTTTCAGGAAAGTCTAAGTTTCTAAGAGTGGGGCTAGTAAAATTTAAAATACCTTTGGTAGTGTTTCTTAAAATAATGGGTCCATATGATACAAATTACATTTGTTCAAATGAAAAGATTTTGCTAACCTTTGTGGTAAGGCAGTCTTTGAGGAGAGTATTTTGCTAGTGATACTAAATCAATGATTAATTGCAGAACATTGATCCTGTTCAAGATCTTCATTAGGTGGCCTTGCAGTTTACATAGAAAGGACCAAAAGTTGGTAGGCCTTGACATTAGGCCTTGCTGGACTGATCAGCAGTGGCTGACCCAGCCATGGTAGCGGCTGATGGGACAGGCAGTGGCTGAAGGAGTGAATTACTCTATTGCTGCAACCCTGGGAACCCAAGCTTTGATACAAAGATTCTGAACAATTTAAGTATTTTCCCTAAAGAACACGTTAAGACGCACCATTATTTTTGTTTTTAAGGTAACTACGTCAACATATGCTTAAAGGGAATTCTTATATTTGGGGTTTGCTGGGGGGTTTCAGTTTCTTTACAGTCTGCAGTGAATTATCGTTTTAACTCTGTGCCGTTTTCATAAAAGCATTTTACATTGTACTGAAAAGATTACATTCTTTTGGCTTTGGAAAAATATTTCCTGTTCAGTTCAAGCCATTAAAGCCTGTTAGCATTTCACATCTGGAAGCCTGTGCCTCCCGTCACCAGTGGAGCGAGTGTGGCGGCCTGGCTGGGCCCCCAGCGCCTGTGTAAAGCCCCGGACTTGTTTACTTCCCAAAGCTCAGCCTTGCGGGTTTTCGGGGAGTGAAGGGGTTGTGAGCCGGGGAGAGGCACTTCCTTGCTCCCAGGGCAGGGCAGGGGTGTGTGTGTGTGTGTGTGTGTGTGTGTGTGTGTGTGTGTGTGTGTGTTCATTCTTCCGGGGATGGAGATGGAGGGGTCTTCCTCTCGGGTAATGAGGAGGGTTTCTTTCGCCCGGGGTGGGGAGGGAATCTTTCTTCCTAGTGAGTGTTGCATCCTCCCTCCCCTCATGCCTTAAGCAGCTCCTATTTTTCACTCCCACCCAGTTTTCCAGAAAGCCAACCCAAACATTCTCTGTGTGAGAGGGAAGTATCCCTCAGGGAAGAGAATTCATTTGAACAAAAAACGCCGGGCAGCCTGGGGCCTTAGTGTGGGATGGAGCTGCAGGCCTCAGTCTGGTGCCCCTTGTCACCAGGCTGCGTTGAGGGACGGCCCGGGAGAGGTGGCCCTGGCGCCTGCTCTGTGGCTGTTTTTCCTGGGAACACAGGGGACTGCATCCTGCTTTCAGTCTTTAAAAGGGAACCAAGCCTCTGGGTGCCACGTTACGTTGTGAGCATTAAGCTCTCCCCCAGTTTGCTGTGGTCTGGGAGGGTTAATTTATGTGGCCTCTGGGACCCTGCTCTCCGGAGGTGGGCCTGATGCTGCCCCCACTCTCAGGATCATTGAGCTGGGCTGTGTCTGCTGATCCTGGTGGCTTCAGTGCTGAGAACACTCCCCCAGGGACCTGTCCCTGTGGCCTGTTGGCTGCCCAGGCACTAGAGCTCTGGGGCAGTGGGTGCCCTGGGACAGAGCCCACTGAGTTCTTTGAGGGAGTTTGACAGCCCCCGCGGCATAACCTGCAGGGGAAACGATTTCATGGTGTGGAAGGAGCAAAACGTTCATTGCATTTCTCCTGATCGCATGTGACCAGAAATGATGCCAAGCAACCCTAGGCTTCCTGCGAGAATCAGGCAGGACCCTGAGCACCCAGGCCTCAGACCTGATGGCCTTGGGTGAGGTGCCCCCCTCCCTGCAAACCAAATGACCACAGTGTCTTTGCACTCCCCTGGCAGGAGGTCAATTCACAAGGGGCCACGGTCAGCGTCTTCATGGGGCTGGTTAATCAAGCTCTTCGGTTGAACTTGCAACCTCGTTGTAGGAGACGGGTGGTCCAGATCTGACAAACATCTTTCCCAGAACACAGGGCCAGCGACAGAGAGTGAAAATCAAGGTCAGATCTCTCCTTGCCCCTTAACGCTGGAGTTCCTGGGTGTGTTTTGAGAAAGGTAGCTATTGAAGTTGGTTTCCATGGGAGGAGCATGCAGCATGCGTGCAGGCCCCAGGGTGGAGGCAGCCCTCTCTCCAGTTTGTTTTTCTTAATTTCTTTGAGCATTCAGTGAATCTTTTTTCAGACTTGTGGGAAGCCACTTGCCCAGTGAGTTGAAATGAGTAGCAGTTTCAACAGAGAGCTTAGCTGAACAACCACCCAAATGGACTAAATGCTTTATATGGGAAAAGCATAGGAAGGGGTCTTCATGGTGGGCTGGGGAGGGGAGGGAAGCTGTGTTGTACTTGGCATGCCCCAGCTCCTCTCATTGTTGTGAGATGGGGAGTGACCACTTTGAGACAGAGTTAAGGTGTGAGTTAGGGAGTCCTGCAAGACAGAGGATGTGGCCCACATGTGCTCATCCTATCCTAGGCTGAACACAGGACTCAGTGTCCCCCAGAGTCCTTGCCCTTGTGTTTTAGGGCTCCAGGAGAGAGCTGGCTGCATTTGAGATGGGCCTTGAGGATGGACAGACAGAGAGAGCCCTGCAGCAGAGGGCATAGGGCACCCTGGGTGCTGCAGGGGAGGGACCTGGGATTTTTTTTTTTTTTTTAAAGACAGTTTCACTCTTGTCGCCCAGGGTAGAGTGCAGTGGTACGATCTCAACTCACTGCACCCTCTGCCTCCCGGGCTCAAATGATTCTTCTGCCTCGGCCTCCTGAGTAGCTGGGACTATAGGCGCCTGGCACCATGCCCAGCTAATTTTTGTATTTTTAGTAGAAATGAGATTTCACCATGTTGGTCAGGCTGGTCTCGAACTCCAGGCCTCAGGTAATCCACCCACCTCGGCCTCCCAAAGTGCTGTGATTACAGGCGTGAGCCACTGTACCTGGCCTGACCTGGGACTTTTAAATGGCATTTGAGCTTGGTAAAGGGGACTGTTTTGATCGGGTCGGTAGCCCCATCTGAATGTTTTACACAGATTTCGAAATCAGATAGACCTGGGCTTATGCCCCAGTGCTGTCCCCTACTGGCCAAGTGTTATCCTCTAGAGGCCTCAGTTTCTTCTTGTGTAAATGAGTTAAGCAGGATTCAGTGAGATCACGGGTGTGGAGTGCTCAGCATCTTGTTGGCAACTGGAGCCCAAAAGACGTCAGCTGCTGTTATTTTAATTGGTGATGGAGGGAGAGCGGATGGATGGATGGAGCACGTGGTTGTTACAAGATGCTGAGGGCCTGGCCCAGTGGCTCAAGTTCGTAATCCTGGCACTTTGGGAGGCTGAAGTGGGTGGATTGCTTGAGTCCAGGAGTTTGAGACCAGCCTGGCCAACATGGCAAAACCCTGTCTCTAAGGAAAAAACAAAAACAAAAAAAAACAAACCACCACCACCAACAAATGTTATCCGGGCATGGTGGCTTGCACCTGTACCCCAGCTACCTCGAGGGCTGAGGTGGGAGGAGCCCTTGAGCCTGGGAGGTTGAGGCTATGGTGAGCTGAAATCGTACCACTGCACTCCAGCCTGGATGACAGAGTGAGACCCTGTCTCAAAAAAAAAAAAAAAAAAAAAAAAAAAAAAAAAAAAAAAAAGAAAAAGAAAAAAGAAAAGAAAAGAAAAAAAAGATGCTGAGGCCCTGAGCTAAGGGATGAATGTCAGGACAATGGGAGAGAGGTGGTGTAGGCTCAGTTTGGTCTTCATGGCAGATCTGAGTGGTCCCTGAGTAAGGAACTGGGGTGCCATCGCGAATCCATCTGGCTCCTAAGCTGTGCACCTGGAGGGCCCAGTAAGGAGTAGGGAAGACCTGTAGGTTCAGGCCAGGGGGCTGGAAGAATGTGTTTACTCAGCTGTTTATTTACCACTCTGTATGCCCATGACATTTTCACCCTGGAAAGTGGGAGACAAGGAGGTTAGGCTTCCGCAGAGGCTGAGTCCTGGTCCACTGAAGCTGTCAACATCCTCCAAAGATAGGAGCCGTTCCCTCCAAGAACTATTCCCAGCAGTAAAATTCTTCCTAGGCAAACTTGGTGGACTGAAGACTTGACATGTTTTGCCACTTATTGCAGTCTTTGATTCCAGAATAGTGATTGGCAGGGGGAATGGTGCCTCTGAAACAAGCAGGGGAAGCTGCTGTTCCACAAGGGGCACGAAGTGGGTGTTTACGTCCAGGCTTACCTTGGAGGAGGAGGAGGAGGAGGAGCCAGTTGCGATGGCAGCCTCCTTCCCCTATGGGATGCTCAGAGGTGAATCAGAGGCTGAGGTGGGGTCCGCAGATTGGGGATACAGTCCCCTCCCCACTTGGGGACATGCCAGGCAGAATCTTTGGTTGCTGCAGAATGGGAAACCGACTGCTGCTTCTCAGCTGAAGTTGGATGCTATCTATTTGTTTGAGCTGGCCGGGTGTGGTGGCTCACGCCTATAATCCCAGCACTTTGGGAGGCTGAGGCAGGCGGATCACTTGAGGTCAGGAGTTCAAGACCAGCCTGGCCAACATGGTGAAACCCTGGCTCTACTGAAAATACAAAAACTAGCCAGGCATGGTGGTGCGTGCCTGTCGTCCCAGCTACTTGGGAGGCTATGGGACAAGAATTGCTTGAATCCCGGAGGCTGAGGTTGCAGTGAGCCAAGATCGCACCACTGTACTCCAGCCTGGGCAACAGAACGAGACTCTGTCACACACACAAAACCATCATCTGAGTATTCAAGGATATAATTTACCTCCAAAAGTAAGGTGAGAGCAAAGAGATGCAGAGGAAGAGTTGATGAATAACCAGCACATGAATATGTACGATAGCCCATCTGTGTGTGGACATGTAGTTGTATAAGTCATACTAGCAGTGTTCTTACAGAGTCTTACAAAGAGTAGCCCAATTAAAGCAGAAGAATTGGCATAATCTTATGAATCTGCACGGCCAACATAAGCTAGCAAAATAATAACTCAAGCTGGATTTTGACCAAGTTATCAAGTTCTATCCCGTTAGTCTCATGTTCAGGGTACCAGCGTGTCTACATGGTCTCTAGGCTGACTTTACAGCCATCTAAGAGGGCTCATGCTTCATCTTCTTGGGGTTGGGGCCAACCCTGCTGTCAGGAATGTCTTCTGTTTTCTTTGGTACCCTCTGCTGTGCTGCTATTTTTTTTGTTTGTTTTATTTTTTTAAAAAAGTAGGTGAGCTGGGCAAGGTGCAATGTGTCTGTGGTCCCAGCTACTTCAGAGGATCACTTGAGCCCAGGAGTTCAAGTCCAGCCTGGGCAATATAGCCAGACCCTGTCTCTGGAAAAAAAAAATTTAAAAAATGGGTGAACATAATTTTTAGAGCAAATGTTCACTTTTTGTTTTTTTTTTTTTTTGAGATAGAGTCTCACTCTCTCACCCAGTCTGGAGTGCAGTGGCGCCATCTTGGCTCACTGCAAGCTCCACCTCCTGGGTTCATGCCATTCTCCTGCATCAGCCTCCCAAGCAGCTGGGATTATAGGCGCCCGCTGCCACACCGGGCTAATTTTTTTGTATTTTTTTTTTTAGTAGAGATGGGGTTTCACCATGTTAGCCAGGATGGTCTCGATCTCCTGACCTTGTGATCCTCCCACCTCCACCTCCCAAAGTGCTGGGATTACAGGCGTGAGCCACCGCACCCAGCCCAAGTGTTAACTTTTTAAAAAACTCCTCAAGAGATAAGTTACTTTCCTTTCACAAAAGAGTAAAACTAATGTCCTTTCTTGCCTCTTTCACCCCAGCAGGCGTGTACCCTGTAGATGTTTTGGAAGATGACCCTGACACATATCAGGAAGCAGCTCTGGCTTACTATGCTTCACTTAGGGAAGGAGCTGGGGCCTCATCTGGGGTTTTCTGTCTTCCCACTGGGGAGAAGGTATGCGTGATCCTCCTTGGCGAAGAGCTCTGTAAAATCTAATTTACAGAGTAGAATGTTATTGAAAGAATAAAATAGATTATTTAAAAAAAAAAAAAAAACCAACCCCTTCTGGAGTGAGTATTAGAATAAGCACACCCTGAGAAGCAGAATGAATCCTGCATTGGGATTCTGGAGTCCAGAGTGTGAGTCCAGAGCTGCCAGGCAGTGAGCCAGACAGCCTGTGTGAATGTCTACCACTCACTTACTAGCTGTGTGACCTTGAGCGAGTGTCTTAACCTCTCTGGCCTTGGTATTGGCATCTCTAGACTGGCGACGGTAACAGCACATACCTTATGGTGTTGTTATGAGAATTAAGTGAGATACTGTGTCTGATGCCCAGCTACTTCAGTTTCCCCATTTGTAAATGAGGGGATTGGTTGGTCTTCAGTCTCTAAGGTTTGATTCAGTTCCAAAACTTTGTGATTCAGAATGAAGTTATATCAGTTTTGATTTTTAGCACTGATAAAATTCTATGCATTGTGAGTAGGGACTGGAAAGCAACAGAGAGAAATGAAAACCATTTGTTAGGACAGTAGGATTGTGGGTGAAATATTAAAATTGTGTTACTCTTAAGATCTTTATTTCCCTCCCTGCAGTAAGTAAAAAGAATATGTAAATCTCAGTCAATCCCTATGTCAGCTACCTTTCTTTCACATTTGAGGCTGATCTGTTGGAAGAGACCAAGTTTTCTTGTTTTGTACGGATACAATCTCACTCATACCAGATATTGTTATCTGGCAGGCAAAGTTGGTTGAGAAAGACAGGATTTTATTTCGCTGCACTGAAGTTGTTCCTGAGTTAATGAAAACAATGGCTTGTACAGTTTATTGTGTGGCTTCCTTGAGATTTTGGAAATGCTAGCTCGCAGTCATTCCCTGAAGAATCCAGCACTCATCCGTGATCAAAAGCCTCCACGTTTTTGATCTGCAGGGGGAGGTCGCTTTCCTCACACGCTTCTAGCGCCCTCTAGTGGCTGTTAAGCCAAAAAGGCGAAAGCTCTGTCAAAGATAGGGGCTGTCTTAGTGAGCCCGGGTGGTGAGGGGCAGGGTTGCCTGGAGTATAGGGGTGCTACATCATCTCGGAAGTGGGGAGAATTACAAGAGTTAGCCCTGAAGTACTTTAGGATGCGGTTTCAATCATCTGCTTTTATTTCACACGTATTTATGGATTACACCCCACCCGAATATGTAGTATGCTCAGTGAGTGAAGAATTTTAGTGTTATTGGCAACAACATAAGACAGCTATTAAAATTAAGTTGCTTTAATGTGATAGAAATGCGAAATGACTATACCTATTTCCCTTTTCCCTTTCTAAAAAATGAAAATTTCGGCTGGGTGCAGTGGCTCACGCCTGTAATCCCAGCATTTTGGGAGGCAGAGGCGGGCAGATCACCTGAGGCCAGGAGTTCAAGACCAGCCTGGCCAACATCGTGAAACCCCATCTCTACTAAAAATTAAAAAAAAAAAAAAAAATTAGCCGGGTGTGGTGGTGGGCACTTGTAATGCCAGCTACTTGGGAGGTTGAGGCAGGGGAACTGCTGGAACCCCGGAGGCAGAGGCTGCAGTGAGCCAAGATCGCACCACTGCACTCCAGGCTGGACAACAAAGGGTGAAACTCTGTCTCAAAAAAAAAAAAAAAAAAAAAAAAAGAAAGTTTCATGAAAACAATCATTTGATTTCCTACTGTTTTACTATTTTTGTAGTTAATAACAAATGGGAGGCCAGGCGCGGTGGCTCACGACTGTAATCCCAGCACTTTGGGAGGCCGAGGCGGGTGGATCACGAGGTCGGGAGATCGAGACCATCCTGGTCAACATGGTGAAACCCCGGCTCTACTAAAAATACAAAACATTAGCTGGGTGTGGTGGCGCGTGCCTGTAATCCCAGATACTCAGGAGGCTGAGGCAGGGGAATGGCTTGAACGTGGGAGGTGGAGATTGCAATGAGCTGAGATCGCGCCACTGCGCTCCAGCCTGGGCGACAGACGGAGACTCCATCTCAAAAACAGACAGAAATGGGAGCCGTCTTCTGCCATTTAGGATGTTGAAAGAGTCTGATTTGGAATAGTATTGGACCTCCTCATTGCTTTCCAAAGGTTTAACTTTTCTTTTGGAATGTAGAGAAGTTTTTCAAAACAAAAAGAAAGATAAGGAAGTGATTTGAGGATACATCATGGCATTTCACTTTGGTCCCCCTAAAAATATTTCCTTCTGATAATTAACTCTTTTTCCAGTCTTGAAATTGTCCCATCACATTTAAAATACAATAATATTAATACTTACCAATTTTTCTGATTATAAAACAGTACATACTCGTCATTTAATGTTTAGAAACTGTTACAAAGGATGGGGAAAATAAAATCATCCATAGTTAACTGCTGTGAGTATTTTGATGTGTTTGCTTTTGACTTTCGTATTTTTGCATTTCTTAAAACATAGGTGAGATTACTCTCTGAATACAATGTGGTTTATAACAAGCATGTTTTCCTTTTCTTTTTTCTTTTTCTTTTTTTTTTTTTTTTTTTTTTTTTGAGGCAGTGTCTCTCTCTGTTGCCCAGCCTGGAGTACAGTGGTGTGATCATGGCTCACTGCAGCCTCCACCTCTCAGGCTCAAGTGATCCTCCCACCTCAGCCTCCCAAGTAGCTGGTACTACAAGAATGTGCCGCCACGCCCAGCTAATATTTTACTTTCTGTAAAGATGGGGTCTCACTATGTTGCCCAAGTTGCTTTCAAAGTCTTGGGCTCAAGTGATCACTGAGGCCTCCCAAAGTGCTGGGATTACAGCATGAGCCATTGTACTCAGCCGACTTTCCATGTTGATCCAATGCTTTTTAAATGTTGGCTTTAATGGCCTGTAACAACTGGCTTGTGGATGAACCATGTTGCACACAACCTTTTCAGGAGGGCCAGCTTGGAGACTCTTCATTAAAGTGACGCCGAAGACCAAGACATTTATAGATTGCAGGATTTGTTAAGAAATAGTTCTCTGAAACTGTGGAGGTCTGCTGTCAACTGATTTGAAACAAAGTTTTGTTCTTGTTGCCGAGGCTGGAGTTCAGTGGCACTATCTCGGCTCACTGCAACCTCCGCCTCCCAGGTTCAAGCGATTCCTCTGCCTCAGCCTCCCGAGCATCTGGGATTACAGGCGCCCACCACCACGCCTGGCTGATTTTTTTTTTTTTTTTTTTTTTTTTTGTATTTTCAGCAGAGAAGGGATTTTGCCATGTTGAGCAGGGTGGTCTTGAACTCCTGAGCTAAGGTGATCTGCCCACCTCGGCCTCCCAAAGTGCTGCGATTATAGGCATGAGCTACCGCGCCTGGCCGCTATCAACTTTTAACAAGCATTCTGCCTGCCTAGCTCAGCCAATGTGTTCTTTTGTAATTTTCTTACACCGTTCTTGGTTTTCGAAACAGACTTGGTACCAGAGCACACTGACCTTTTTCATTTGATGACCACAAAGAGGGCTTTGGATATGGACATTTGCGAGAAGCCTCTGGGACAGTCTCAGTATTAGAGACACTGGTTTCTCTCTCATATGACAAACAAGTGCCCAAAGTTGAGCTTCTCTGTCCCAGGGCTGACAGGGAACCTGGACTGGGCCTGCAGGGCCCAGAGAACATGTCAATTTCTTTCTTTCTTTCTTTTTTTTTTTATGAGACAGTGTCTCACTCTGTTGCCCAGACTTGAGTGCAGTGGCACGATCTCGGCTCACTGCAACCTCTGCCTCCCAGGCTCAAGTGATTCTCCTGCCTCAGTCTCCCAAGTAGCTGGGATTACAGGCAGGTGGCACAACCACCCGGCTAATTTTTGTATTTGTAGTAGAGATGGGGTTTCGCTGTGTTGACCAGCCTGGTATTGAACTCCTGACCTTAAGTGTTCCAACTGTCTTGACTCCCAAAGTGCTGGGATTACAGGTGTGAGCCATTGCGCATGGCCAAAGGTGTACATTTCTTGAGACTGCTTGCTGGACTAAGCCAGGACAGCAGGCAGCCTGAGTGGCATCCCAGGAGGAGGCGGGCACGTCCCAGGCTGTCCATACAGTGGCCACTGGGACCCTGGGAGAAGAGCTGGGCCCGAGATGGGCAGATTGGGATCCAGAAGGCTGCTGCGGTAGAAAGTGTTTGGAAGGGATTGCTGAAGGGCAATTGGCCGACAAGTAGGTGTCTGGCTGACACATGGATAGATGGACATGTGGATGTGGGAAAGAAAAGGTGTGCTGGGTGGGAAATGCGAGAAGTTTTTGAAATTCCCCTTGTGTTTAGCTCAGCAGGGTAAGGTTTCCATTTTTGTGGTGGCTATGTTCTGTCAAATTAAGCCTGTGTTCTGTGCAACAGTCTTCTTTCAATGCACACCATGCTAATTAATGTTAAGTAAATTCGCATGCCTGTATTATGATGAAATAACAAAATGGTTATTTTATTATTTTTTCAGGTGAAACTTGAAGCTTCATATGTCTGTTTTTGCATGGTACACCTTGATGAACCTCAACGTAAGATACCGGTTTTGGTTAATTCCCAGGACGCAAAGACAGGTTTCTGGTCATTAATGGATTTCAAAAACGGGCATCTTGACTTCATCATAAACAATGGATGGAATCAAATCCCTAGGAGATGATGGTTGTGCTCATAGGCTGAACTTAGAAGGACATGAAAGCAGAATTGATTTATTTTCAGCTTTTAGGGATCCAGTAGTGCATTCGTATTTCTGTTTATTGACATATATATTGTTGTTGCTTTTTTTTTTTTTTTTTTTTTTTTTTTGAGACAGAGTCTCACTCTGTCACCCAGGCTGGAGTGCAGTGGTGTGATCTTGGCTCACTGCAATCTCCACCTCCCAGGTTCAAGCGATTCTCCTGCCTCAGCCTCCCAACTAACTGGGACTGGAGGCACCCGCCACCACGCTCGGCTAATTTTTTGTATTTTTAGTAGAGATGGAGTTTCACTGTGTTAGCCAGGATGGTCTGGATCTCCTGACCTCATGATCCGCCCACCTTGGCCTCCTAAAGTGCTGGGATTACAGGTGTGAGCCACTGTACCCAGCTTTTTTTTTTTTTTTTTTTTGTGAGACGGAGTCTCGCTTTGTTGCCCAGGCTGGAGTGCAGTGGCCGGATCTCAGCTCACTGCAAGCTCCGCCTCTCGGGCCCAAGCGATTCTCCTGCCTCAACCTCCTGAGTAGCTGGGACTATGGGTGTGCCACCACGCCTGGCTAATTTTTTTGTATTTTTAGTAGAGATGGGGTTTCACCATGTTGGTCAGGCTGGTCTTGACCTCCTGACCTCAAATGATCCTGCCTGCCTTGGCCTCCCAAAGTGCTGGGATTACAGATGTGAGCCACCACGCCTGGCCTGTATATTGGTTTTTGTATTAAAAGACATGAGAACTGCCTCTTGCCCACAGCAGCAGGCCTCAGAGCTGCTTTTGAGGCTGGCGCTTGCTGTTCTTATTAACAGCGTGCAGAATTGCAAGTGCTGAGTGGGGTTCTTTTGTTGGTGCGTTACCACAGCCCTGTGCAGCCTGGGGACCATTCTCATCCCCCACATTCAAACGAGGACATGCGGCCTCAAATGAGGACATGCGGCCTCTGAGAGGTCGAGTAACTGACCTAAGACCACACAGTTAGAGCATGGTAGGGATTTTTTTGCAAGGTGATGATTGGGTGGGGTTTTGTTTCTGGTGGTGAAGTTTAGGTAATCTGTAACTCATTTATTATTCCTTTGTGTTATGGAGAGACCATTTGTGGCTGGCTTTCATATCCTTGGAGTGAGTCCTCTGGAGAAGAGGCACCACCAGGCTCCATGGCATCTGGGGCAGGGGCTGGGGGCTGTGGCAGTGGGCAGTGTGAGGTGGGGAGCAGAGAAGGGGTGCAGCCTATCTGTCCTCCCTGAGAAGAAGTGAAGAAACTCGTTTCAGTGAGGGCTCTCAGTTTAATTTTAATCCTATGCAGAAATTTTCTCCTCTATTATACCTATAGTTTATCTTGTGTTTTGCAGATCTCTTACAATGGCTGTGTACTGCTTTCCTAATAAGAAATAATAATAATACATCTTAATTGGTGATATGGTTTGGCTGTGTCCCTGCCCAAATCCCACCTTGAATTGTAGCTCCCATAATTCCAAGGTGTTGTGGGAGGGAGCTGGTAGAAGATAATTGAATAATGAGGGCAGTTTCCCCCATACTGTTCTCGTGGTAGTGAATAGGTCTCACAAGACCTGATGGTTTTATTTTTTTATTTTTTAATTTGTTTGGGGGGATGGAGTTTTGCTCTTGTTGCCCAGGCTGGAGTGCAGTAGCACAATCTCAGCTCACTGCAACCTCCACCTCCTGGGGCAAGCAATTCTCCTGCCTCGGCGTCTTGAGTAGCCGGGTCTACAGGCCTGTGGCACCAAGCCCAGCTAATTTTTGTATTTTTAGTAGAAACGGGGTTTCACCGTGTTGGCTAGGCTGGTCTCAAATTCCTGACCTTAGGTTATCTGCCCGCCTCGGCCTCCTAAAGTGCTGGGATCACAGGCGTGAGCCACCGTGCCTGGCTGATCTAAGGTTTTGTAAGGGGTTTCCCCTTTCGGTTGGCTCTCATTCTCTCTTGCCTGCTGCCATGTAAGACGTGCCTTTTGCCTTTTACCATGATTGCGAGGCCTCCCAAGCCATGTGGAACTGTGAGTCCGTTAAACCTCTTTTTCTTTATAAATTACTCAGTCTCGGGTATGTCTTTATCAGCAGCATGAAAATGGGCTAATACTATTGGTCAGCCCTCCTTTGATGATGTGGTATCTGGTGAAAGTTTGGGATTACGGGTTTTTTACTATATCTGCAAATGGGGGCCTCCTTCAGCTTCCAGTTTCCTTAGAGATAGACCTTTGTCTGTCACCTGCATATCTGTCTGGGACCTGTACTCAGAGGATGCCCCGCTTGGTACATGTCACAAAGCCCAAGGTGACATCTCTGGGGCAAGCTATTCCGCACGTCCTCAAGGCCTCTGTCTTTGCTAAATGTGAAACTCAAGTGTGCTTAGCTAGCTGTGTGGGAGTTTTCAGCGTGCTGGCAAAGCCTCCTCGTTGCTTCAGGGCTGGAGGTGGCTGAGATGTGTGTGAGAGCTTTCTATCAAGGTTCAGGGTGTTTCCTACCTCTGTCCGGTAGAGCTTTGGGTGTTGTGAACAGAGGGCCTATGAGAAACTCAGGCCTTTGATGTTGCCTTGAATTTGTGACTCCACCACCAAGTCGCTGAAGGTAACAAGATGTACCCACATGAACCCTTCAGTGCACAGATTGTCAAAAACTCTAAGAATATTGTTTGCCCATTTTAAGAAAATGCTCACATATCGGCTGCCCCACCACCCCCTTTTAGGCATTTAACAATATTCTGGTTATAGGTCTTTAACTACAATTTGCATAATGTAAACATATGACTGACTCTTATAAATCTGTTTCTCATTTGTATTGGACTTAATTTTTTTTGTTGTTTTCAAGAATGTACTATAATAAATATTCATAAGCTCCAAGACATCTCACTATGGACCATTCGTTATATATAATAGCACTTTAAATAACGTTTCGAAATGTTTTCCTACTGCTGTGGGCTCAATTGTGTTGGCTGTGATTTTGCATGGTTTCAAAAAAAGCACTCAGGTGTTCCTGGAGCCCCACGCTCTCGCTCTTTAATCCGGTATTTGGAAGCAGACACGAGTTCTTTCCCAAACACATCGTACATTTCCAGAGCATGTCTTGTGACTTGAAGCATGTGGACTGTGCAGCAGCCGATGGTATCAGGGACCCTCTTCACAGCTTTGACAAATGTGTCACCTCCCCTCTATGCTTAGCTGTGACCGTGGAGAATGCTATCACTAGTTCCTTTGTCACTTTCTTGGAGAAGTTCTATTTGTGAAGGCCGTGCATGTTTGTGTATTTGTGTGTTTAAATGGAAGCTAAAGGAATCAGAAGCTGTTTGATAAGCCCTGGGTGTGAGTTAATTATTGATAAGGTGGTTGAATTCATCACAGTCACTTCCGATAACTCCACAAGCAAATGAAAAACATCCTGGAATTGTGAATTCCCCTGTGGCAAGTGGTTATCGTTCGTGGTGGCAGTCTGCTGTTATGATGTACGTAATGAAGCTTTCCACCTTTCCCCTTTAAGAAACTGTGACTTCACTTTCCCTACAGCGGGGGTGAGAGGCGTGTGTCCTTGTCCCCGTGGCTCCTGGCGTACTCTTTCTGGATGCCTCTCTGGACAGAGGCTGGTTTATATTCTTTGAGGGGACATGGCTGAAGGCTGCCAGTAACCTCCTTTCCTAGGTTGCTCCTGTGTCTTTGTAAGGACTTCAGCTTTCACTTATGTCTCCTTATTTGTTACTTCATTTATTTCTGCTTGTTTTGTTATTCTCATTTGTTAATTATTAATGGATCTCAAATGTTTACAAATATTAAAAAAACTTTTCTCATCAAAAAAGTTATGGCCTTTTTTTCATCTTCCGTGTAAAATCAAAAGCACTCATCCTAGCCTTCAAGATTGACATCAGATGATGACCTTCAGCTTTTTCTGTTTCTTCCTGTGTCCCGTGCAGCATAATAGGATGAACATGGACTTTGATGTCAGATGGAGCTGACTTGGAATCCTGGCTCTGCCAACTGACTGGCAGAGGGGATAAGTTATTTAACCTCTTTGAGCATCTGTTCCATCGTTTGCAAAATGGGAACAGCTTACCTACTTCACAAGACAGTTGTAAGAATGAAATTATTTATGGCAGGAAATCCGATGCATTGGACCATCCCAGGGCAGAGCCTAGGCATGAAGTCTGCAGAGCTCCCGGACTCCCCCAGGAAGTGCACCCTGGCTTGTTTCTCCTCTGTCTTTGCGCGTTGTGTTAGAGAAGAATGGACTTCCGAGTGGGGGGCCTGTTCGGTAGCTTCTGGTGAAAGTTTGGCAGTTGGAATCACCGCCCTGGCAGATTCTGCTTGGGGACTTCCCCACGGACAATCTTAGTCTGTTTTTGAACTACTTTTTTTGGATTTTTTTTTTTTTTTTTTTTTGAGGTGGAGTCTTGCTCTGTTACTCAGGCTGGAGTGCAGTGGCACCATCTCGGCTCATTGCAACCTCCGCCTCCAGGGTTCAAGCGATTCTCCTGCCTCAGCCTTCCAAGTACCTGGGATTACAGGCGTGTGCCACCACACCCAGTTAATTTTTAGTAGAGATAGGGTTTCACCGTGTTGACCAGGCTGGTCTCGAACTTCTGACTTCAAGTGATCTTCCCACCTCAGCCTCCCAAAGTACTGGGATTACAGGCGTGAGCCACTGCGTCCGGCCTCTTCTTGGATTCTTATTAATTGTCAGAAAGTTGTTCCTTATACTGATCCAAACTGCCTCCTTGTATAAATGTCATGCAGTCCATCCAAAAGCCCCAGTTGATCAGGGATGGGCTGGAGGGGATGTGTCTCGATTCCCCCTGGTAAAGAGACAGTGGCTCTCATCAGGTAAGCCTTAAGGCAGGCGTGATTTGGCACTAATGGAAGGATAGGTCCAGCTCAATTATAGCTCAGTT